GCACCCTCTCCCCGGCAGACGCCACCTGGCACACGCACCTCTGAGCTGGCGTTAGATTCGTGCTGTACATGCCTCAGGAGACGTTGGTTCAAATCCCCACTCAGCCACAAAACCCAGTGGGCGATCTGGGGCCAATCACTCTCTATCTCTCAGCCTAACCTTCCTCACACGGTCATTGCACAGATTGTACAGATAAAATACGTGAAAATGAACATGTATGGTAACAGAGGTCCTGGAAGGAAGGAAGGAAGGACAGAAGGACGGAAGAAGGAAGGGCTAAACCTAAAAGCAATAAACCATCTCCAAACTCTTGCCTCATTCTCATCAATATTTCACTTCTTATTTCTTATTCACAGAACAGTAAATAGCATAGACAACACACAACATGAGGATGAATGAACCATCTACAAAAGATAGATATTAGAAGCAAGGTGGCACAGAAATGATTGATTGCCTCCAGAGAGGGACAGCCCACAACCTCCCCAAGAAACAGGTTTCACTGCTGTACTGCTCTGAGAGTGAAAGCATTCTGCCCGATGTCTCGTCTAAATCTGGTTTCTTTTAACTTACATCCCATGTCCTGCAATCTTGTCCTTCCTGTTCATGACAACCTTTCAGGTACTTTTAGAGTGCTATCATATCCCCCCTCAGTCTTCTCTTCCTGAGGGTGCGCAAGCCGAGTTCTCTCCACCTTCCTCACAGGGCTTTGCCTCCAGTCCCTGCATCATCCTTGTTGGTCCCCTCTGTACCCTTTCCAGCTTGCCTCTGTACCCCCTCTGTACCCTTCCCAGCTTGCCTGGGTCGTTTTTAAATGCAGGTGTCCAGAACTGGGCACAGGACTCCAGGTGAGCTCTGACTAGTGAGGTGTATGTTCTGGAGGTGATGCTTCTCTTATTGCAGCCCCAAAACAGCATTTGCTCTTTTTTCCAGCTGCATCACATTGTTGGCTCATATTTAGCCTGTGATCTACCCCAAGATCCTTCTCATTCGCAGTATTGTTGAGCCACATGTTCCCCATCTCGCCTCAATGCATCTGGTTTCTTGTTCCTAAATGAAGGACTTGGCATTTGGCCCTATTGAATTGCATTCTGTTGTTCTCTGCCCAGAATTCTAATCCATTGAGATCACCCTATATCTTCTCTCTGTCTTCCAGGGTATTTGCTATTCTACCCACCTTCGTGTCATTTGGAAATTTAATCATCTTTTTTTGAACGTCTTTATCTAAATCATCAATAAAGATGTTGAAGAGAACTGGGCCCAGGACAGAACCCTGTGGAATCCCATTAGTTACCTCTCCCCAGCTTCAGAAGGTCATGTTGATCACTCTTTCAATCCAATTTTGCAGTCAGTTGTGGACGCACCTAATGGTTGCATTATCTAGCTCACTTTTTGCCAGGTTGATAATCAATTCTGCATGGCATGCACTCTCCGATCAGGACTGTGAGTCAGAGAAAGAGCAGGAGGAGGCGGAGGGAGCTTGGGAACGAGGGCTCCAGACTGAGATGAAAGAAATGCAGCTCTTCTCAAGGCCACCCTCCCCACGCGCTCAGGTGGGCTCTGAGAAGAGCCAAGGGGCACAGGTGCTGAGTGGGGGCAAGAGCCCTCAGAGTCAGATGTACCAGCTATGACTCTTGACTCCAAGGCACAGCACTGGGAACGGAGGAAGTGCCAGCTGCTCTGCTGCCTCGAATGTGTGAAGGGAGGAAGGTTTGACGCACTACAATGCTCCCCAGAAACTGGAAACTGGATTTACTGACTCTGGAACATGGGCCCCAGTTGGCTATCCTGCATACCAGCCACCAGAAGCTACTTCCGCAGTTGTTTGGTAGAAGAAAGCGAAGACTGATTCTGCAGCGATTTAGTAGCTAGGAGTGCTGGGATGCAGCTCAGGTGGTCTGGGTTCCAGTCCCCACTCGGCCTTGGAGCCCACTGGGTGACTTTGGGCCAGTCACTGCCTCTTAGCCCAACCTACCTTGCAGGGCTGTTGTTGTGGGGATAAACTAGAGGAGAGGAGGGCCTCCTGAGCTACCGGGGGTGCCTTGTAAGAGAGAGAGAGAGAGATGATGTGCATCCAATGTAAGAATAATGCTCCTAATTGAACTGAACTGAATAATCCCTAAATCTTCAAAAGCCATTCTGACTTCCTTGTCTTTCCAGTCCCTTTCGTACCTCATTCTTGCAGCAGATAAATTCATACAACAAAGCCTCTCAAAAATTTATGAGCAGTCCTGTTTTAAGCCAATTAAGAGGAAACTATCATTTCTGGGTACTATTGAGTGAATTTTAAAGATCTTATTATGGGCATTTATCACCATTTTCCAGAAATCAGCAGTTCTTCTACAGGTCTACCTCCTGTGATAAAAAATGCACCGCATTCATGGGTGACAACTACCATTATGATTTTCATAAATCTCAGGCAACTTCCACAGTGACAAACGCCAGCATGCTGCAGTTCTCAAAGAGATATTATTTAGCGTTGGTGATTTTTTTTTAATAAGCCAGGCTCCATTTCATATATTAGCCTGTAAGCCATGACTTGATTTGGATGAAGTTCCTTCTTCCAATAAACTAGGACATGCTCTTGATAACTTAAAAAAACCCTGTGAATAATATTCTCTGCAAATCCTTTTTTAACAAAAATTTAGCACACTGCTGCTTTGGGGGCAGAAACATTCACAGAAGTAACCAAACAAGTTTTTAGGATTGCAACCACCATCCAGGAATCTTGGGAAGTCTTGGGCAGGATTGGTGAAGTAGGGTGGATACTTTCTCCATATTATGTAGGTGTCCCATCTCCAGGCACCTAATTTATGGGGGCAGCTCATTCCCAGTGGGGGAGTCGTGAACTCTGGAATGCACACGCTCTTTGTGCTAGCTCCTATTTCCTCACCCCAAGGAAAGTCCAGAAAGGCAGGCGGCTGTGTTGATTCATATCCATGAAACAAACCTAGGCAACTTCATTTCCAGGAGCAGGGCTTTTGGAAAGCTGACGAGTCCTCATTGCCCGCTCCAGATCAAGGCACCTGGCAAGGGTTCAGAACAGGGCAAGAAGAATGATTGGCGGGGTTGGAAGCAAAGCCCCATGGGAGAGATGGCAGGAACTTGGCACTTCTAGCCCTGAGAAGAGGAGAGTGATGTGACAGCACTCTGCAAGTACTTGAAAGGCTGCCACAGAGAGGAAGGCCAGGGTCTCTTCTTGACCATCCCAGAGTGAAGGACATGGAATAACAGGCAGATGTTACAGGAAGCCAAGTTACGGTGGGGTATCACAACTGTTGGAGCAGTACAGCAATGGAACCCACCTCCCTAGGTCTTGGGATGGCTCTAGGCACGTCTGAGGCTGGCCTGAGCTTGGAGGGGAGACTGCCTGGGAACCGTATGGAGCCACCTTGAGTTCCACAAGGGGAGAAGAGTGGGATAGGAATACTTGGAAGGGGCCAAGAAGGCCAGCAGGTCCAGCCCCCTGCTCAGTGAGGGACTCCAAGCTGAACCATCCCTCTTGAATGTCTCCGGTGCGGGAGAGCCCACCATCTGAGAGGGACGGTTTAACTGAAGTCCTGCATCCAGTAGGGGGTTGGACCCGATGTCCTTCCGGCCCCTTCCAAGTTACCTCTTCTATGATCCTATGAAAACCCCAAATGTTCCATTAGAAAGGCTTCCCCTCAGTAGGACTGACTGAAAAGTTAGTAGCGAGAAAGGCACTGCAGCGTCCCCAGGTATTTTACATGGTTTAAGCCAGTCAACCTCCTGCGTGCCGTCGCCTTGCTTCTCTTGCCACTCTTCCCTGCTGTGGCAGTGAGCCAGGGAGGGAGCTGGCCGGGGCATGTCCTCCTCCTCCTCCTCCTCCTCCTCACCACCACTTTTCCTGGGGCCAGAGCGAGTGAGCAAGCAGGGTGCAAGGATGGAGAGGAGCCGCAGGCCCAGGCGACTGCCGTCCTGAGCCCCTGCTGGGTGCGGGACATGGGCAGGGGCCCACCCATGCCTGGCCTTGGCACCTCTCCAGCCAGCTCAATACTGCCCACATCTAGAACTGCCCCTTCCTTGATGTCTTATGCGTCTGCTCTGAAGGGCCGTGAGAAAGGCGCTTGCTAAGAGAGGGCCTCTTCCACGCGATCTGCATTGTGAAGGAGGCTTACAGAAGGGAGAAAGAGGACAAACCTGGCCCAGTAACCTGGCACCTTAATCACTAATGTGTCAATTAAATCTTCTCACGCTGGGCAAGGGATGAACAGAGGCAGGAGTCGAGTGCTAGGCAACAGGGGAGAGGGTATTCTATAAGATGAAAACGCAGGAAGACCCAGCAGGAAACTCTCTGCCTGCTAAGCACCCATTTTTGCCACACACATGGCTGTAGGGGGGAATCTTGCTCCCCCTGCAAGAGTTTTCAAAACCACCCCTTCTTTCTCCTACACAGTGGGAGCAAAACCCTTTATCTGCTCCTGACACCAGGCTGAACTTTATGGCAACTAGGCGTGGCGCTGAATCCAATGTCAGTTATGCTCAGTACCATGGACAGTTCCTTAGGGGTTCAGGGTGAACTCTGGAGTGGATAGATAGCCGCTCGCTCATGCTGCTCCTATGTCTTAGGACATGCAAGGGCCGATGGGAAAAGGAGGGAAGGGGCTGGTTCTTGACACCCCCATTCCCCTTTTCAGGTTAGCAAGTGGGTAGACTGAACAAACACGAGGTGGGAAGAAATCTCCATTCCTTCAGGGTCTGTTTGGCACCATGATTTCATAAATGCATTTGGGCATCCCAGAAAACTGCAAAGGGGAAAAGGTGAACTGAAAATCACAGTAAAACATACACAGTACTGTGGACAAATCTCCGAATCCAAACCGGAAGAACAACAACAGATTGTTAATGTACCAGTGCCGACAAAATAGCAAGACGAGAACCTCAACGGCGTGGGAGACGCCATGCCAAGGGTGATGCTCATCTGGGGAAACATTTAAGTGCAGCCACAATTGGGAGACTTTGAAAGCTGATCTTTGCCTTACCAGCAGGACAAGAATGACTGGTCCTTGATAGATGTAATCGATGTACTTCCCTGGTTCCTTTCCAAACCAGCATCTGTAAATAAAAAGTGATTTATTGCGAGGGTGCAAATCCCATGCATCAAGTAAAGAATAATAAGTCTGCATTGCACCTTTAGGAATTACACACAATTACAGAGAGTTCTGCTTTGTTTTTCAGTTTAATTATGCCTATGGAATGAAATTGATGGAGCAGCTTTTCTTTCATCAAAGGTGTTTCCTTCAGTGGGAGATGATACGGGGCTGATTCGTGATTGCGAATTTGTCCAGATCACCTTGCCCAGCGTTTTTCTTTGCAGTAACTGTGCGAACCCAGCAAAAAGAGGAGGGCTTCCCCTCCACTAAGGCCTGGAGCCCTGGGCATGAGACCTCCAACCTTGGGCCCACTTCAGCGGAGAAGGGGAAGGCTTCACCCCTGTGGACTGATCTCACATGCCAGTGCAGGCAACAGATCTGGGGGCCTGTTTGGCCACCTTCCCAGCACGACTTGTCTAGAACCAGTCAAGAACTTAGAGGAAGAGCAGAACCACATTTCTGGCCTTCACACTTACGGCAAAGATGCAGAAGTTCCTTCAGCTGAAAGCTAAACTGCATTTTGGAGAACTTCTTAGTGGTACCCAGAAGGATGGAGCCAGCACACCAAATATACCATATACCATTGCGAGCTTGCAAGGAGCTAGCCAGGCTAAGAAGGAGCTTCAGCTGTGAACAGGGGAGGTTGGTGACCCTTCTGTCAGCGTCTCCTCTCCCACTGCTGCCTCTCTCGTCAGCCATATAGGAATGATCCATGGTACTCCATGGCGCTGGGGGTACTTTGGGGATACAGCTCGGTACCATGGACAGCTCTCATAAAGGGCCTATCATGCTGCAAGGGAAGACGTCCCCCTGGACAGATACAGGACCCACCAGCCCACCCTGACTGTAGAGTCTCTGGTGCTTTCCAGGTGCTTGGCCGATGGCACCCACCAGCCCCAGCCAGTACAGGCCAGCATTGAGGGTGACTGAGGGAACTGGGTCTCTTCAGCCTGGAGAAGAGGAGACTCAGAGGGGATCTGTTGGCGACACACAGGCATGTGAGGGGATGTCACACGGAGGTGGGGAGAGACCTGTTCTCCCCTGCAGAGGAAGGCAGGACACACTCCAACGGAGCAAAGCTCAGGGAGCCAAGGTTCCATTTGGATGCCAGGAAGCACTTCCTGACAGTCAGGACCCCGAGGGTGTGGAATGGGCTTCCACGAGAGGTCGCTGAGGCCCCATCGGTGCGGGTGTTCAAGGATAGGCTGG